GTTTGTACTAATATCGTTTAGACAAGATATCATGTCTGCATCTTGTCCTATGAATAACTACTACAAAGACAACAATATACAATGTATTAATTATTGTAACTGCTAACTACTAACCTATTTTGAAGCTGTTTCATTGCTATTTTATCTTTTTTCTCATTAAAATGAATTAAAAAAAATTTTTAAAGCAGATGCAGGGGGCCACAGTTCGATGCTCAGCACCACATGCTTTGCCAGCCTCAGCCTCAGGGCAGGGCTGAGCTGGCAAAATAAATACATAAATAAAAATTAAAAAAAGAAATTATGTGAAAAGAATTTCTAAACCTGGAGTAAAATCTTGAATACAGCATCACCCACCAAAGTCCATTTTCTGGTTCTGTTTTAATATGAGGGTGTAAGGGTGGGACTTAGTCCCTCTCTGGGTCACACTCCAGAGTAGCTCTTGGGGGTCTGGAGGAGGCTGAGACAGGAAACAGCCCCCACCTTGGGTCTCTTGTGAGCAGAGCAGCAATCGGAACGGGATGCTTTTGCCCAGAACTGCAGGTGGTCTGTGAGAGGGAAGCAGAGGCAGGGAGCGGACCACTCTGGAGTGTGGCCCAGAGAGGGCCTAAGTCCCACCCTTACACCCTCATATTAAAACACAGAACCAGAAAATGGACTTTGGCGGGTGATGCTGTATTCAAAATTTTACTCCAGGTTTAGAAATTCCTTTCACATAATTTCTTTTTTTAATTTTTTAAATTTTTATTTATGTATTTATTTTGCCAGCTCAGCCCTGCCGTGAGGGTGGGGCTGGTAAGGCATGTGGTGCTGGGGATCAATCCGTGGTCCCCTGCATCTCCTTTTTTAAATCTTTCATTCATTTTAATGAGAAAAAAGATAAAATAGCAAAGAACCACAACCACAGAGGACACGGAGCAGTGCAGAAAGGCCACCTGGCTGCCACACAGTGGGCCAGCTGTGGAGGAAAGGCCCGGTTTAAAAGAGACTTCACCAATTTCAGCCATGCCATGCATTCTTCCCCTGTACCTGTTTGAACTCTGCAAATATATGTGAGGCTCCTAGCTCTGTTCACAAGGACATGGGGCAGCGGGGAGAGGGGCTTTTGACACACAGCTGAGCACGTGAGCACACGAGTCAATGGCAATATGAGACATTTTTAAAATAACTACACCATCATTTTCAGTTTTTTCTTTTTTCTCCTTGGCCATAAAATTAGGACAACTGACTGTGAAAGAACCCAAATTCCTTGATTTTGAAGTCAGGAATGAAGTACACCTCATCCTTTTGGCTGAAAGCGGTGAGCATAGAGCCTACAGCAAAGTGGCAGTCTTGATACAGGATGTGAATGACAACGCTCCGTGCTTTGAGCGAAGTGTTTACCAAGCACCAGTGTCGGAAGGCCAGCGCTCCAGTGCCAGCGTCACACAGGTAACCGAAATGTGTGTCCTTGGTACGTGGGCTCGGGGTCATTATACAGCAATGTGTACCAAATATGGAAGGCCTGTAACCCACACATGAATTTTAACTGTCTTCTGGGTGTGTGCAGTATTTGATGGATTCAATAAAACTCTCGACTGAATGACAGCTGAAATTTCTGCATGCACGCTTCCTCTTTCTTCGGTGTTCTTCCTGGCCACTGCTATCCATCTCTAGGGACTCTGAAAGTTACCACGGGGACATGGCAGAGACACAAAAATAACTGGACTTGCAAATGCATACAGTTTGGTGGGAAGCCGGAAATGCCTGCTTTAGTTTGCATTGAATGTTACGGAGCAAGATATAATTATGTATAATGAGCTTGCAGTTAGTGTCAAGATAGAAAAGTGGTGACAGACCCAACCTTAGCCATTGCTCCACAGGAAAGATAGTGACCATACCAGGTCTTAGAGGGTGAACAGTTATGCACGCAGATCTGCAAATCTGTTCAGCAGGCAGTGTTGTTCCAGCTCTGACCCCTTCCCATGGTTGATAGTTTACCTGCCTCAAAACTGGCATCCACATTTCTTTTTCCTTCATCACTGAACTGTCTTTGTCATCATGAAGTTAGACGTCAGAAGACCCGCACCTCCTTGCCAACATGCAGAGGGAGTCAGCATAAAACCACCTTCCTGGCCAAGCCTGCACGGAGCAGGACATTTATTCCCTTCAGCCTGATGTGACCAGCAGCTCGTGCATATATTTAAAGCACGGGCCTTCTCTCTGGCATAGGGCGGGTCAGGAAATTTCCTGAGATGACAGTCCACTTTCTGGACAAGCTGCCCATAGTTCTTTAGTGCCTGGGTCCCTTCGCCTGAACTATATATACCAAGACACCTTCTTTCTCCTTGAAGGCCAGTTCCTGGTGCATACGTCTTCTCTGTGGATGGAAACCAGTAGACTCAGAAATCGTGGGGATTCATCTCTGTCCCACACCTACATCCAACCCCACATATCTTCTTGGCTACTACTACAGATTTATTTTCTCTTATAGCAGATTATTTTACATAATTGCTGCAGCTGCCAGACTGTTATTTCTTTCCTCTTGTTTCAGCCAAGACTTGGATGTTTAAGAAGGTTAAAAAAAAAAAATCATTCATTTTCCCAATCTTTATCGCTGTGAAAGTGACTATCCTCACCCTCATGAGGGTGGCAGACGCCCCTGTTCCATTGGTACCAGAGGCTCCCTGCTCCATGGCCAGAAGTAATGCACTTCTCTGCTCTGTGTCCTGGCATGGGTAGGATCAGGGTGCCCGGGACAGTGTAAATGTTTGTGGAGACTTGCTCCACGCCAGATGTGCCGAGGGGACCCAGCCTGACCAGCTGGATGGAGCCTCTGGTTGTGGCGCCCCTCTGGAAGGCACAGTCAGAGGCATGTGCTGTGAACTTTGTTCTTTTCATTTTTAGATCATTTAGTGTCTGAGAAGCTAGCATTGCGATTTTTGCCCTGTTCAGATGAATAGAAGCAGAAGGCTCTGAGGGTTACTCCTCCTGAAGAGACTCCTTCCTACTTTTGCCCCTGCAGTGTCCACCTGCCAACCCTTTGGTTTCAGTGGGGCCTACTTCTTCTGAGGACCTGGCCCTCCTCTGCAGGAGGCAGACTGAGCAGAATGGTCACAGTACTGATGCAGCCCCCACCTGCTCTTGCAGCGGTGGCGGGAATGGCCCAGCCTCAGACCCACAGGCGATCTCCCTCTGGCATTCTTAGCAGGCTACTCGTAGTAGGTACTGATGGTGCTCCTGCTGGAGCGCAGGCACCAGTGCGCGGCTCCACTTAGCTGTCTCCTCCCCTTTCTCTTCTCTCCCCTGCCCCCTCCACCTACCTCTTGGTCCCATTTTCACAAATGGTCCCTTTTTCTTCTCATCCATCTTTCACTGTGCTCTTCAGTTTATTTAGGAGTTTGAATCTTGCAGGAAGCGATATCAAGACCCAGACAAAGTAGAGCTCACCACCCAACCATGAGGGCCCAGGCCGCTGGGTCTCGGATCCCCACCGCTGCTTAGTGCTCGGGCACCATCCCCGTGGCACACCTCTGCACAGGTGAAGTCAGCCACCAAGGACATGTGTTCTCAGGCAACCAGGAATGCTCAGACGTGCCACCCTGGGAAGCAAACAGCTCCGAGGGGCACAGTGGGTATTCTCTGCCTCACCTGGGGACCAGCGTCTCTTCCTGGTGATCCCCACAGGCACCGTGCATGGCTGCCTTCTGCCGCAAAGGCTGGCATGCGCGCCCTCCTGATGGGATCCCCGGCGCTCTGCACGGCTCCCAGAGAGCTCTGGCCTCAGGGTGAGGATGAGTCAGTGGGTAAAGATGAGAAGCACAGCCTACCAGGTCATCAGCATAGCAGCCAGGAGAGATGAAAAGGGCGTGAGCGAAGCCTGAGGGTCAACGAGAATATAAGAAACTAAAGTTTTAACAGATCTGAAACATATCCTTAATGAGCCCTTAATCCACTTGCATGATTGGCTCAGTGATTGGAATTTATCTGTGTGGACGGTGCTCCGAAACTTTTGTTCTGTCCCCAACAATATTTTGATGACAAGTAAATAGTCATGATCTAAATTTGTTAGCACCAATTGTAGCACCTTTGTTTCATTTTCTTAAAGATCCCTTTATATTGAAACTAATGCAATATAAAAACCTACGTGTGGCCTATCTTAAAGGTGACACTTTATTTTACTTTTTAAAATAATTTTATTGAGAAAAAATAGCAATGAGACAGTTTCAAAACCGATTAGTAGGACAGTTTCAATAGTTAATACACTGCATATTGTTGTCTTTGTAGTGGTTATTCATAGTACGAGATGCAGACATGATATCCTATCCACAAACACTATTAGCACAAATCTTTCTATTTATTGAATTAAGAAAAAGTAGCTGTATATCTATCCTAACTATTTTGAATATACAGATACAAAATGGTCCTTCATTTGTATCCCCTTTTTTGTTTAGTTTTGTCAGAGATGGGTATTCTATTGTCATTTAAATATTGTAGGTGGGTGAATTCAGCAAAATATTCCACTATAGCCCAGTAGTCCATAATAGTAGTGGGTCGTCCACAGGACTGGCAATGTCAGAAGTTGTTGACTTGAGCCCTTTACAGCTCAGCATATTAATATGGCTTCACTTTTCATACCTTGCTTCTACACTTTTCTGCTGGATGCTTAAGACCAAGATAAATCAAAACTTAAATAACAAGAAATGTAACTTTTGTATCTGAAAAGATCAGTCAAATCCCCTCAGGATTTACCCTGAAACCTTGTACCACAGTTTGTAGATCTTTTATCAGTGTCATCCATGTGGATGTTAAAGGTGACACTTTAAACAGGAAAAAAGGATAAAAGAAAAAGGTGTGCACTGAAGGTTTCCTGCATTTGTCACCTTTTCTGATGTAATCCTGAATCCACAGCAATACTAGAAATTTTATATTTGAGAAAATTAGATATTTTCCCAGTAAGGTTTCCTACTGCATAAAATTATTGCACAGCAACATGTGAAGCCATTTGGAAACCCCTTGAGTGAGTATGCAGAAAGCATCCCCTCCTGTCACTCACTTCATTATAAAGTTAAATGTGCGTTCCGGCTGCTGGCTGGTATCCCTTCCTTTTTTCCCCCATAATTTTAGAAAATGAAGTATAAGAAGTAAAGCCATGCTGTTATGTTGAGCTATATTGGTATCCCTTTCATTACTGGTCTAAGCTGCACCAAATGACTTGCAACTTTTTTCACGATGCATTTCTGAAGAATAGGCTTAGCCCATGGTGCACATTAAATCTTTTCTAACAGAGGAGTTGGCTTCTCCTAGGTGACCGCCACCGACCTGGACAGCGGGTTGAGCGGCCTTGTGGAGTATTCCATTGTCTCTGGCAACCACGGAGAGGCCTTCCGGATCGACTCGCGGAGCGGCGTGATAACCACCGCGGAGCTCCTGGACCGCGAGGGCACTGCCTCCTACAGGTGTGTGCAGGCCGCCGTCTGCCTGAGCTCCACTCTGCTAACTTTGTTGCTTAGGGCTTGAGTTCGTGCTGTGCAAGCTGAGCTGTAAAAGTGATTCCCCTTTGATCCAGCACGCGGTCAGTGTGTCCTTGTTGACACATTGAAATTGTCTTAGAGATTATTCGGCATTTGAAAACAGCGATTAGACCACTTCAAAGATTTTATAACTGTGTGATGCTGTTAGGGACCTAGTAGGAGGCACTCAGGAGACCCGTTTCTGATGCGCCTCTCCAGCTGCAGCGCCCTGCAAACATCTGCTGTTACTGTTTTTAAAGGCAGTAAGATTGCATGGCATTTCTCCTCTTAATTCTGTGCTCTTATTTTGTGTCTGGATGCACGACCTTGTTCCCAGGGTCATTTTTGCAGTATTATGTTCCAGGAGAAATGGTCTTGTCAAAGCATGCTTTCAACACGTAAAATTTTTACCTGGAGTCTAAGGTGGTAGGTAGCCTTACACAGAACTACTCAATGAAGGAGAGCATATGGTGTCATATTTCTAAGTTTTTAAAAAGTCAGTGCTACAGAAGTCTAGACTGATATGCACAGAGATAGTTTTATGGCATCCCATGGGACTCCGACTTCCTACCTGACTTACTTAACATAGCATGATGCCCTTCCATTTCCGTGATGCTGGGGGAGGATTTTAACTTCCTGCCTCTCTAAGGCTCTCACTTATAGGGAAAAACATTGAAGAAGATATTAATTATCTTTTCCAAAATACACAGATTAATGAGCAGCAGGATTGGAATTAGAGGCCCAGTATATTCATCCACTATGGAAAGGGAATGAAAGTCATTCTAAGCAAGAGGCATAAAGAAGGCATGGTTGTGCTCAAGTCTGGGGTGAGTTTGGAAGTAGCAAGCCACAGAGCACACCTGACATGCGCATGAGCGTAGGTGACCAGAGGCTGGCCAGGGTTAGCAATCTGAAGGACTCCATGTGCCGTGGAGTGGAATCTGTGCTTTGTTCTTCAGCTAGGCAAAACTATGAGCTGCTGAGTGAATTTCAGGTATGTGCGTTGAAATGATATTTGGTACTGGTGCATCACAGAGCAAAAAGCTGGAGTAAGGCAGACAAGGCCAGCCAGAAAGCATCTGAAAGAGGCCTGTTACCCAAATGATTGGGAGGATGAGATGTCTGCTAGCTTTGCATCGCCCTGATACCTGAACTACATCAATTTGGAGAAAGCACTACTGTAACTCTCATAACCAGTTGGTCTGTTGCTTTGGGGCATGTAGTAAGGAAAAGTGCTGGAAAGTGAAAGGGGGGTGTTCCTCAGTATCCTGGGCAGACTCACCATCTTTCTCCTTTTTCTCTATTTAGTACAGTCTACAGGGTCTACAGGATCTACAGGGTCTCACTACTTAGATCAGACTCATAGGGATTCTCCTGTTTTCACCTCCCAAGCACTGCAACTACAGGTGTGTGCAACCATACCCAGTCTCATTCGCCATCTTAGTGTGCCCCGTGGGCGTGGCCAGGGCAGCACTCCTGGGATCGAACCCCAGCCACTGTGCTCTGCCTAAGCAGGTGCTTTAGTCCACTGAGCTATCTGGCCTGCCCATAACTTTCTTCTACCAGTGGTACACTCCTAGTAGTGCCAGGGGCTGGGGACACGTGGCCCTTTGAGGCATATTCCAGATAGCAAGGTCATGCTTCCAAGCTGGTTTAATTATGGAAGCTAGAGCAACCTCGTGGCAATTCAAGTGTATTTAACGAAGAAGGAGCTAAAAAGTGGTTTGAAAATTTCTACGTGGAATAGAAACAAGGAGGTGTTTTGGTTACTTTTCTCTCATTGCTGGGACAAAATATCTGGCACCCAAAATTAAGGAACGAAAGGTTTATTTAGCTCACAGTTTGTGGCAGTTTCAATCGATAATCAACTGGCTCCGAGGCAGAGTGGCCCATGGCAGAGGGCAGCAGTTTATGATGGCGGAAAACAGCAAAAGCAGCAAGAGCCAAAGCAGAGGACAACAAGCCCTTTCCCTCTTACGGAGCAAGCACAGCAGGTGTAGCAATCACTCCATCTCCGTCTGGGTTTCCTGCTCTTGTGCAGAATGACTATGTTTACAAAGTAGGGACCCTGCCCCCTGCTGAGCAGTTTGGTTAAGCCTTTAAACTGCTCAAGTTGTCAAAATATACAACCATTACAATCCATCCTTTGTCAACTTATCAGCCAGACACATTTCCTTAAACCAGATTCCATATAAAAAGGCGTGTTTGTTCTTAACATTTCACAACTTGAACACTGTAACACAGGCTTAACAATCCTCAAGATCCAGTATTAAGTCTATCAACATTGTATTGCTACATTAGAACCATAACATTCAATACCCCTCACCCCTAAAAGACTCGCACATCCCGTTATGCCAAAGGTATTTAGTCCATCTCTAATCCTTGCCAAATTCCTGTTACTGCATTGCAAAAAAGTCCAAGTCCCAAGTTTCAAACTCTTAGTTGCTGAAATGAGAAGAGTTAGATGCTTCCAACATCTCAGTGCACAAAATAAGCATTTTCATTCCAAAGCTACAAACAAGGGAACCCAAAGGAAGGGGACCAGAGCCGGTCCATACATCCTGCAGTTCTGCATGCACCTGCCAACGTAATCTGTGACTTGGGAACTCCACAGTTATGCCACTTCTGGTGGTTGTAGCTCCCAGGACTTCTCTCTTAGGCTGTTTTTGCTCTCTCTTTGCAGCTTTCATTAGATGATCCATGTTCCTGGATTCTCCAAACTTCTGGGGTCTCCACTGCACCTTTGGTTTCATACTCACAGCCTGACATATGGCCCGCCCAGGGGCACACTGCCTGGCCTCCCAGGCCCTCTGAAATCTAGGTGGAAGTCTTCTTAACCTCAGAACCCCTGAATGCACCCAGAACTAGTGCCTCAAGGATCCTACCAAGGTCCGCTGCCAGCTGGAGCAGTAGCCAGACTCCCCCCACCATGTGGCAGTAGAGGCTGAGTCCCTGAATTGCTGAGCACTCTGAATCTAATCCTGAGGAGCAAATTCTCTGTGTCACTGCCATTCTGGAACCTGGTGCGGCTGCTGCCACCATTCCAGAACATGGTACTCTGTGGCTTTCTTCTCAAAGCAAAGTCTTTGACCTCTGCAGTTTTGAGGCTGCAAGGGGTGGAGACCTGCTGCTTCCAGTGATGTCCTCGGGCCACCTTTGCATTTCTCCTGTTCCCCCTCAGCAATCAAGTGCTCCTCAGCAACATCTTTGCAATCCACAGATTTACTAGAGCTTCTTATCTAGCCAAATTCACATTTTAAAGCATCCTAGTGGGCTCCTTGGTCTTGATTCTCAACATAGATCTGGCTAAAAGTCCCGACAACAGCCATGCTACCACCTCAACACTTGACTGCCTTGAAATTTCTTCTGCCAGATTAATTAGTCCACCACTCTTAATCTTAGTCTCAAGCAAAGCCTCAGCATGAGCAAAATGCAGACAAACTTTGTGCCAAGCCAAAACACACATAGTCTGGGGGCCAACAACTAGTGCAGTTATTCTTCCCAGAAGAAACCTCCTTAGCCTGGGCTTTACAGGCAGGTCTTCTGGTCCGTAGAGCTCTGACAAGAATGTCCCACACAGAACAGCCTATGACATTCTAGTGCTACTCTTTCAGGGGGCATCTCTGAACCTTTCCAAACTCTTCCCATAAGCCATTTCCAAAAGCTCTAGAACCATGTGGTCGGGTGTAGTCACAGCAATAACCTGAGTTCTCTGATTCTAAATTTTGTCTTGGTTACTTTTAGTAGAGACTCTTTTTTTGTATTTAGTACAGGTCTACAGGGTCCCACTACACAGATCAGACTTGTAGTGTTCCTCCTGTTTTCAGCCTCCTAAGTGGTAGGATTACCGGCGTGTGCCACCACGCACACTTTCAGTCACCATCTCAGCATGCTCCGGGGCTGGGGCCAGCATGGCACAAAAGGGATCAAACCCTGGCCACTGCGCCTGCCTAAGCAAGCACGTTAGTCCTCTGAGCTACCTGGCCGGCCTTTGTCTTGGTGACTTTTGTCTCTTTGCTGGGACAAAATACCCAACAGTCCAAATTAAGGAAGGAAAGGTTTATTCAGCTCATACTTTATGGAGATTTTGGTCCATAATAGGCTGGCTACAAGGCAGAGTGGCAAATGGCAGAAGGCAGCAGTTGATGGTAGCAGAAAGCAAAAACATCAAGAGCAAAAAGGAGAGGACAAGCCCCTTTTCCTCCCTTATAAGCAGGCTAACTCCCTCCAGAGCAGGTATAATGTTCACGTGATCTCCATCGCAGTGCCCTCCTCTTGCTTAGGATGAGGATGTTTACAAGGCAAGGCCTCTGCTTCCCTGTGGAGTAACATAGTTAAACTTCTAAATTTCTCAAGTTGTCACAATGTGTCAACTATTCCAGCATTCTTAGAATTTAATTCTAAGCAACTTGATTTAAGGGAGCCAGTGCAAGAGGAAAAATGAAGCTTTCCCCTTGGGCCATGGAAGTAATGATCTGGACTTGAGAAAGAAGCTTAAGTGAAGTGTCAGGGCTGACTCTTCAGTCCAGCTAGGGAAAAGGCGTCCAATGGAACCCAAAGGACAGCTTCCTGGCTGGGAATTGGGCAGGGGTGACGGTGGTGAACTGTTTCATCAGAAACAGATAAAGAAACAGGAAGTCAAGAACAGATTCAGGGAACAGAGAAAGAACCCCAAAAAGATGGTGTTGTGAAGACCAAAGGAAAACCTGAGCTATGTGACAGAACAAGGCCTCAGAGTGTTTGTGTTGCAGTCTTTAGAAATATTCCTCATTTTAAGGAGCTTGCAAGAACTAAGCTTGTCCCTTACTGGTTCTCTTTGTTGTTGTGTTTGTTTATTTTTTTATAGTATGGGGATTGAACCTACAGCCTTTGCACTGAGCCACGTCCTTAACCCTTTCCCTATTTTTTTTTTAATTTAGAGACATCTCACTAAGTCTGCCTCCTGCCTCAGCCTCCCCAGTAGCAGGACAGATTTGCACCACCGCACCTCATAGACATTGTTTACTACCAAGATAACTCCCCCAATTATATTTGTAGGTTACTTAATATGAACCTGTTAACACTTAAATTAACAAATTGATTTCCATTTAAGTATATTCTGTATAGTAAGTAGGCAAATACATTGTCCTGTAAGAAGTTTGTATTGCACATACGTAAGTTTCAGGGCATCCAACAACAGATACCTCATTGTTATTACCTGTATTGCCTTAGAGAGTTACTGTAAACTTCAAAGAATTTTATTTAGACCTAAATAAATTTTTGCCTCATTTGGCTAGTGTCTCAGCAGTGGCCAAATGCTGTGGTCACTCACAGCATTTCATTCCTCATCTGCTGTGGTCCGTAGAATGCAAGTAGTTTCTAACCTTGTGTTCTTCTGTCAATAAACAAGGCCAAAGGGTTAACATCATGAGCAAGGCCAAATCTTAGCCCAGCAGCTGACATGCTCTAAGTACTGATGCCAGGATAACTTCTTCTGAAGGCTTCTCAGGGAAAACCACTGTAATCTGATTTTTTTTTTCATTTGAGACAAAGCTAAGTGGGCATTTCAGGGTTTATAATTTTTATGCCCACAATTTTGGAATAGATTTTTACATGAGACCCACTGAGCCGATGGAGAGAACTCAGATTTTAGTGACAAGAATAACTAAGACAAGTGCCAGAGAACATCGTGATGGAAGACCCTTCTTTTTTTATCAGTGCTGTGTTAAAGGGAAGGCGTGTCCTCCAGCAGTACTGGATGGGATTCATTAGGGTACGCCTCCAGGAGGAGCTTGATTTGTGCCTGTGTAGGCAACAAAGGAGGTTGCTCTGAGATGAAGATTAAAGATTTTGATCTGTTAAATATGTGTTCTGATTTACAATTTTTTGTCATCAAAGTAATACACAGTTTTTTTCCTAAAAAGTCAGATAGTGGAATAGAGTCATGAGGGGTGAGGGTGCAAGTCACCATGCTGCCTTGCCCCTGCCAGCACTAAAGCGCTCCAGAAGCAGAGGCATTCCACTGGCTTCCTGCATTGTACCAGTGCCACTGTGTCTTAATTTGTGGTCATAAACATTGTCTTTCACTTCTGTATTGGCCAGCTCTCTGTTGCTCTGAAGACATACCTGAGAAAATCGAGTTACAGAAAAAGAAGGTTTATTTTGGCTCATGGATTCAGAGGTTTCCACTTACAACCAGTGGGCTCCATTGTTTTGGGGCCTGTAGTGAGGCAGAAGGTGGTAGGGACTGCACAGAGGGGCAGACCCATTCACTCGTGGCGGCAGAGAAGTGGAGGAGAGACAGGAACAGGGCTGGGGTCCCAGCACCCACGTCCAGGCCTTGAGCTCAGTGGCTGGACTTCCAGCCACCAGGTCCTAGCTCCTGGTGCTCCAGTGGCTGCCGAAAGCATCACAGGCTGAGGACCAAACCTCCTTCAAAGCATGAGATTCTGGGAGCCACTGAGGGTCCAGACTACAAAAATTTCTTTTTCAATAATTTTTTAGGGTTAGGTTTAAAGAATAGAAGGAAGTAAATGAAAGAAAGAAAAGAAAGAAAGAAAGAGAAAGAAAGAAAGAAAGAAAGAAAGAAAGAAAGAAAGAAAGAAAGAAAGAAAGAAAGAAAGAGAAAGAAAGTTGTTGGCACAGCTAGATGGAAACACATGGCGGCATCCTTGGGAGGCATGACAGGGCACCTCCAAACTGTAGGGGCCAGCATTTGCTTGGTTTTAGGTTTTTCTTAATAAAATAATGTTGAGGTCAGATTCTTACCGTCTGTCTCCCGTAAGTGGACAATTTGTTCTGACAGTAATGTTTCTTGACCTCTGGCAATTTTCTGAATTTGGGTCTTCAAACACGTCAAAAATAAATAAATTTCAAGCTACCATTTTTGTGAAATAAACTTTAAACGATGCCATTTAGAGAAAGCTAGGGGAGAAAGAGAAGTAGTCAGCTCATTTTAAAAGCTTCAAATAAATATTTGATACATTGCTTTTCTAATTCCTGGATGGTGCGTAACATTCTTTAATTCTTTCCCAAACTAGCCTGATTGTGCAAGCGGCAGATCAAGGAGTACCTAGGCTTTCTGCTACAGCTACTATCCAGATACAGGTGACCGACGTAAATGACAACGCTCCAGTTTTTCTTCCTGCTGAAGCAGTAGAAATTGCAGAAAGTAAGTGTGACCTTTGGGAATCATAGTTTTGGTGAACACACATGGTATTTATCCTCTGTCGCTCTTTTCAGTCAGTTATTGAATTAAATCTGAGCACTTGTGCTCAAGAGCTCTATAAGCTACTTACTTTCCCCTGTGGGAGCTCGTAGTTAAACAGCAAGGGTTAAGGCAGTCAGATGTGGAAGTGGGGCTTTGCATCCAGACCAGGAGAAGCCCGCCCCTCTCCTGACGAGCACCCCTCTGCAGTTCTGAAGCACTGAATCTGCGCTGCTGCGAGGAATGTGCCCTGTCGACCACCCTAACCCCGCAGACCTCCCGGGAGAAGAGGCGGCCTTTGCAGGCTCCCAGCTTTGCCGGGTGCTGTGTACCCTGGAGCCAGCACACGAAGCAAACCCGCGTTAATGTCACAGAGTTACCCTGGCTCCCTGGAGTAGCCTGAGCTCCAGCGTCTGCCCTGCATTCCTCATAGGGTTGTACTACAAAGGCTTCACGTCGGGACAGATTTATCTTCCTTATCTGGATCTGTGCATTACATGACGCTTCTCTCACCTGAGAGCCCAGAATTGTTCCTGACCATTGCTTCGGGCTGAGGCCCCAGCCCAGATTCCAGAGAAGCTGAACAGAGCCGCCAGCCCCCACGTATCTCTGCTTTCACTTCGGATACCAAAGTCATTCTTCAAATCTTCCTAACATTTTATTAGGTTCACTTTCCGAACAAATTATAACAAAAGGATACATTGCAAAATCGATTTGCCTAGGGTTTCACTCTAACTCTCTTGGTATATTTTCCCTTTTTTGTTTAGAAAGTACTATTGTTGAACACAGGCGTTGGTGTTAGGTTGCCGTAATGTGTGTGTAGTAGAAACACAACATCGGGACAAAGTTCATAAATCAGAACATACTGAGCGGACTAATGTGTGGCTGATGTACATGAGAAATACACAAGCTTGACAACTGTGGGGCCATTTGTACAGAGTGGACCCACTCACAGAGCTTCGGCACATTCTCTGCACCCGCACCACACGCGTCTGCTCACCAACACAGTCCTACATGGACAGCCGAGGCCGGAGACACTGCGGCGTGAGGCAGCGGGCACGCCACCTGCACTGTGACTTCTCGGTTGAATAACATTAGAGGTTTTCTCCCATGGCTAGCACTGTGGATGCTCTGTCTTTCCGAAGTCCTGGTTATTCTGAGAAGCAAATTTGTGAGAAAGCAGCACTCCTAAAACAAATAATTTACCAAAAAAAGAGAAAAATGCAAAGAAATAAGTAGCTGATTTGAACACCCATATTCAAATATTTTTTTATTTAGATATAGCTTGCTTTGGAAAATTTTGGGTTCTGTCGTAATGTTTCACGTAACGTCCTTCTTTCTTCTCACTTCCCCTCTGAGTACTGTGCGTGACTCTGATACGGAATTATGAGGTACAGGAAAGAGCTGCAGACTGTTTCTTGAACCTGCAGTTGTGTTGTAAGCATGTGATGAAAAAAAGTAATACAAAAATCTAATTTACCCTAAATTTCCTTAATTCCCTGCTCCATGGTGAATTCTCACTTTTATTGGGTTTATAAATTCTTCAGAGTTTTTGTTTAGTTTATAATGAGCTTTGTATGAGAAAACATGCCAAGACTGGGCAAAGTACGTTGGGCTTAAAATGAAAATACTTGGAGGGAACTATTAAAGAAATGTCTTTCAAAGGCTGGATTTTAATGGAGGCTGACATTGTTTCAGATTCTTTGCCTGGTATGGTGGTGTCTCGGGTATTGGTTCGTGACGTGGACTTGGATCCAGCTCTTATCTTCAGTTTTGCGAAAGGGGGTAATCCGGGAACCAAGTTTGCTATGGATCCGATCACTGGAATGGTGATCTTGGCAAAAGCGCTAGATTTTGAAGAGGTTACCAGATACGAGCTGCTCGTCCAGATTTCTGACTCAGTGCACCACACAGAGGGATCTCTCATTGTCCGGGTGTCGGATGTCAACGATAACCCACCCGTGTTTGCTGAAGATTTCTATCAGGTAAAGAGCTTAAGCAGCTGCTGGAGCCACAGCCCCACCTAGAAAGAACAGCAAGTGGCAAAAGCCTTGCACCCCTGACCCTCTGCTTTGGCCGGAGAGTGTTCCCAGTGTTCAGCGCCTAAGTGAATGGTGCAGGGTTAGACTTAACATTAAGGGCTCCTAAGGATGGAGGGAAGCGAAGTCTCCTTCAGTGCAGTTTGTCAAGCATGTTGGTGAGCCTTTTAAAGATGCTCCTGGAGTTGCTGTCCCGTCATTTATTCCAGCTGGGACCTGCCTAGTATTTGCGAGGCTACAGAGCAGAGAAGGGAGTTGGGCTTATCTGAAGGTAATTTGGAAAAATTCTTTCTTTCCAAGGTGTGTTTTTACAATACAGTGATCACTAACATTTTACAGAAAGAAATTATGAGCAAATCTGCGAAGTGGAAATTTTGATTCTTAGGGCCTAGTATGGGTTTATGAAGGTAGGAGAATGATGACATTCAACTACAGAGCTGGAGATGCACTCCAGACTGGCAGGGAGCAAGTGCGAGACTGAAAGGTCAGCGCAGGAGGAAAAGCTATCCTACATGCGCCTGCAAAGGCTTGCGTGCAATACAAAATGTACGGTGGACAGCCTCATGCGAGCGACAAGCTGCCTGTCTCCAGTCAGGCAGAAATAATTTAAAAGGAACGTTTTTCATGGTAAAAACAAATAGAATAAAACTGAAAACATTTTCATTTTGTTTTGTTTCTGAATCAGAGAACCATGAATGTAAGTTTTTGAGACCCAGCTCCATGCCTTGCACATGCCAGGCAAGCATGTCACCACCGCCGGCACCCCCAAGCCCAGTGTGAGGGGGGCAACTATGTTCATTAATGTGTCTGACAAAGTCAGGTTGTATGTATGGTATGATCTGCAGAGAAAACATCCACAAAGTGGCCTCACGTTCTGGGCCTCTCTGTGGCAGTCTCTCTCGCCTATAAGCATGACGTCCTCTTTTCTCCTTTTCTCTCAGGTCACTGTTCCTGAATCAGTACCCCTGGGGTACTCAGTGTTAACCGTATCAGCCACAGACCTAGAAGGCAGTGAGAACATTTCTTACAGAATCTTTTCCTCCTCACAGGGATTCTCCATTGATCCCAAGAATGGTGAGTTACTTATAATGCCTTTCATGCTTATAGGTTGGAGTTACAGGGTGAAAACATGAAATAATACCTTCCAAAGAGGTTGAAAGCGGCCCACCAGCTCCGCCCCTTGGACTTGTGAGCATCACTGTCTCATTTGCCTTCACGTCACACACAGCAGTAATAAATGCCAGCATTACTTCCCTGCTCTGACATCTCAGTGCTAGGAAGCAGAAGGTACTGCTAGTAAATATTTGGAAATTTACAGGCCCCCACATGGGAAGCTCATGAGTCCAGCTGAGCCCAGCTTTCCCTTGCTGGGAAATTTTCCAAGGCATCAACAAGAGTCAGAATGTGAGCAGGATTAATTCTGGATTGAAGGGCTGGTGAGATAGCTCAGCAGACTAGGCATCTACTTTGGCAGACATAGGGACCAGGGTTCAATCTCCAGTCCCACATGCCGTGCTGGGTGTGGTGGTGCAAGCCTGTAATCCCAGTTCCGGGGAAGCTGAAAACAGGAGGATCACTATGAGTCCTATGAGTCCGTGCTGCATAGTGAGATCCTATAACAAATATATAAAACAAAAATAAATAAATAAATAAATAAAAATTCTGGACTAAAGACTTCACATTATCAGGGTTGCAAAGCTTTTCATAAAAAGTACAAATATAAAAGTATTCAATAATAACACTGTATATTCAATAAAGACAAGAATATTAAAAACAGAAAATGAAGGCTGGTGAGATAGCTCAGCAGACTAAGCACTTGCTTAGGTAAGTGTGGGAGCCAGGGTTCGATCCCTGGGACAGCATGCCCTGCCAGCCCTGCCTCTGGGTGTGCTGAGCCAGTGATGGAGTCTGGGCGTGGTGATGCACGCCTGTAGTCCCAGCACTAGGGAAGCTGAGAACAGGAGGATCACTACGAGTCCAAACTGTGTAGTGGGACCCTGCACATGAAAAAACAATAAACAGAAAATGATGCAAGTATCCATTTCTACTAAACATAAAACATGGTGTTCTGCTTTATTTGATGTCTTGAAGGATTTTTGCATTTTTATCAGTGAACAAAACATTAGTGTTTGTGAAATATTTTCAGGCCTGTGCTTCCACACTAGAATAATTAAACACAGTACAGAGAAAGCACAATATGGAATGGACATTAAGAGCTAATGTTTTGCAGATGGAAATGCAACCAACGGGTGAAGGGCGTGGGCAGAGGAGAGAACAGTCAGAGGAGTGAAGTCGGGTGTTCTGTGCGTCTTCCCAGTCCCCATGATGAATATGATCGTGATGTACTGCAAATGTGTGTTAACAAAAATTTTAAAAATAAGGGCCAACTAAATAGCTCAGAGGATTAAAGTCCCTGCATAGACAGATGTAAGGACCGGGGTTCAATCCCCAATATCCCATGCCAGCCCCACCACCAGGGCGCCTTTACATGTCGATTGAGACTGGGCATGGTGGCACGTGCCTATAATCCCAGTGCTTCGAAGGCTGAAAACAGGATGATCACTATGAATCTGATTTGAGTAGTGAGACCCTGTAAACCCTGTACTAAATACAAGAAAAATTAATTAATTAAAAATAATAATAAGAAGAGAAAAACAGCTAATACTGATAAAAATGAATAAACAACAAGACAATATCCCACTGCTTGGCAAATACAAGGTCATGAGTTCAATTTCTGGTATCAAAAAACAGAGACAATGTCCTTGCAGCTCAGAGTCTACCAAAGAACAGGATCTGGGATGCATCTCGCTGTGTTGCCCTTCTGTACCCACCATCGGTGCGCTCCCACAAGACAGAGCCATACAACGGCCACCAGCAGTGCATCAGTCGGCTTGCTGTTGCTGGGAGAAAGTGCCAGACACCCACGACTTAGGGCTCCTGGCTTCCGGGGTTGCGGTGCATCGCTGTGGACTCCCAAGCAGAAGCAGCATGGAGAGGGACACGGAGGAGCACAGCTCCATGGTGGTCAGGAACAAGCCCCGCAGAGCAGTACCAGACAGCAAGGGGCCGGGGTGACCAGACAGAGTCCCCAGCATCGCACCTCCACATCTCACCCCGAGATGTACTCTGCTAGGTGTCTCTCGGGTCAGGGAAGTTCAAACTCAAGATCATTCATCACAGCAAGAAGCATGTGAGAAAATCATTTGGCCTGAAAACATCAGAGTGAGGCCCGGAGGGTGCTGTAAGAGCACTGGGATATGTGTGAAGGTGCTACAGAGCCTGGGGGACAACAGTTAGCAGGTGACACTCAGTACGTCAGGAACTTGGCCTCTCTCTTCCCCATTCCCTCCCCTCTCCTTCATCCTCATCCTCTCCTCAGATAATGTCAGACTCACAACTATTCAACTGTTACTCTGGCCACAAGAAATCAGTGTACAAGATTTCTCTCCAAAAACTCAATTCTCAGAAACTTTTTTTTTTTTTTTTTTTTGGTGCTGGAGATCAAACTCAGGACTTTGACCTTGCCAGGCAGATGCTTATGGTTCTGAGCTATCTTCCTGTCCCTCAGAAACGTTTTTGATTGATACATGTCACCCACAAGATGTGGATCTGGGGGCTGGGGCGAGAGTTCGGTAGAATAAGCACTTGCCTAGCAAGAGCCAGGACCTGAGTTCAATCACCAGTTCCGCAAAAAATAAAAATTTTTAAAAAGATGTAGATCTGAATGGTTTTAAAACATTGAAAGTCACCATGTTAATTTATTACATAGTATGGCTGTAATTGAAACATGGCATTTGAATTTCGGCACTGTTTAGTATTCTTTCTCAGTGACCATATTTAAAACACATTTGTCTTAGTAAAATGTTATATGCTATTTATAATAATTACCGATATATTTAATACAATGAGATATATTAATGATATTTTATCAGTTAGAGAAACATTCACTTGATGAATTAACCACAAACTTTGGGAAAGACACCTCTATACTTAGGAAAAAGTTGTAACACTACAATATTACTTTTACTCCTTTCACTTTACTAGAGTGACTGTGAACCACTATTTCCAGAATAAATATCTTTCTGCCAGAATATTTCCACACATGCATTTATGGATCCCTGAATAGGATACACGCTTTTCAACCAACAATATAATTTCTTTTTCAAAATAGCACAACTTACTATGCAAAAAGCAAAATTTAGAAAAAATTTGTGGCACAGTTAACCACAGACAATACACATACTTCACAGAGTAAATGTTATGAATGTTATTTGCTAATCTTACGTGTTTTGTACATAAAAATTTTAAATTTCTACTTAGGGCTATCGTTGGTTGTAACTAACACATCTAATGAGGAACTAAATGGATTTCAGTGGCTGATGAGCACTTGCCATCTGCCTAGATCGTGAACACTTTGATTCCACAGCAGTGATAAGCTCCGTCCTGTTTTTCAGGCACAATATTTACTACCAGTCCCGCCCTCCCTCTGGGTAACACACCAACTGTCCGCATTCTTGTTGAAGCCAGTGATGGCGGAGTTCCTGAGCTGAGGGCTCTTGCATTAGTGGAGATACAAGTGCAAGACGCGAATGACTGCGCCCCTGAGTTCACTGCGGGGCACTACAATCTCACCTTGAGTGAAGACACTCTGGTTGGAAGCACACTTCTCACACTTTCGACCTTCGACTGTGACAGGACCCTTGAAAACACGCGTGTTGAGTATTTCATCATCGCCGGTAATCCTCAGAACAACTTCCAAGTGGAAACTAGCCCCACTGACGCAGCCTCCCCGCACGGGCAGCTGGGTCATCTTGTGCTACTTCACAGCCTGGACAGAGAAGCAAGCGCCAGCCATGAGCTTGTCATTCTGGCGTCCGACCACGGCTCCCCGCCTCTGAGCTCCACGACTGTCATAGCCCTACAAGTGCTCGATGTCAATGACAACCCACCCAGATTCAGCAGCCTGGAGTACAGAGTCCATGTCAAAGAAAGCACCCCTCCAGGCAGCGCTGTCGCTGTGGTCTCAGCAAGTGACTGTGATGCGGGCTCCCACGCAGAAATCTTTTACCGAGTTATCTCTGGAAATGAGATGGAACATTTTTACTTAGAAGAAAAAACTGGAGACCTTTATTTGATTAAACCCCTAGATTATGAAGAAATGACAAAATTCACTTTAACCATCCAAGCTTCAGATAAAGATAAGAAACATTTTTCTTTTGCAGTTGTGTTCATCAGCGTCTTAGATGACAATGACCACAAGCCTCAGTTTCTGTTGTCCAGCCTGAATTGTACAGCGCCTGAAAATCTGCCTGCCCTCTCCAGCATCTGCTCTGTAAGTGCTGTGGATCTTGATTCCGGTCCTTATGGAGAACTGGCCTACACTATTTCATCCCCCTGTTTTGTCCCTGATGGGGGGTCTCCCCATCAGGACCTCTTTAGCATTGACCCTTTGACAGGGGACATTCACGTGAAGCAAACGCTTGACTACGAAAGAGCAGACAAGTACTGCCTCCTAGTGCAGGCCAAAGACAGGGGCGGCTCCACCGCCTCCTTACCTGTGTGGGTGGACGTCGAGGGCACGGATGAATTCGAGCCCATTTTCACTCAGAATCAATATTTTTTCAACCTCTCAGAGAAGATTCAAGAAAGACAGCTCCTTGGCAGAGTGGAAGCTGCTGATGCAGACACTGGCACTGATGGGGTCATTTTTTACTCCCTGGCAACAGCTTCTCCTATCTTTTCAGTAAACAGAACTAATGGGAATATATACTGGATCGGAGCCTCACCCTTACTGAAAGATCAGGTAGGCGAAGACAACGCCTTTGAAATGAAAGTCATTGCTCGGAGCCCCAAGCCGGGCTCCAGATCCGCATCATGCACTGTGTTTGTGAACCTGTCTCTGTCCTCGGGAGGGAAAGGTGCAGAGTGGTTGGCCTCCAGCGTGCCCCTCAGCCTCACTGCCTCCTTCGCAGTGTTTCTGTTACTCGTCTGCATCCTGACTGCACTGATTTTAAAGCTGAAAGCCAAAGCCACACCACACAATTATGAAAAGAAGAAAACATCCTCCTCCTTGCATCTCAGTTTGAAGCAGACAGAGGAGGCTGACACGCACAAAGCCCTGCAGGAAAAGGGTGACGGCAGGGACGTGGCAGTGCCCAGCGCCACACCCGAGTGGCTGAGCTTCATAAGCATCCTGGAGAAGGATCGGCTCAACCAGTGCCAGCACTCCAACTCCAGCGGCCCCTGTTCTGAGGAAGTGGAGACTGCGGAGGACAGGGAGATCCAGAGGATAAACGAGCATCCTTACACAAAGGACTTGGACTCAGCTCTGAGCGACCGCGGCTCCCGGGTGCCCGACTCCGGCATCCCCAGGGACTCAGACCAGCTCTCCTGCCTGTCTGGAGAAAGCGCTGAAGGGGCAGAAGGCAGCCGCCCAGTGGGGGGAGCAGATGGGGAGGGTGGCTCGCACGCCATCTATGTTCAAAAGGACCTGCCATCCCAGACCCTGCAGAGGAAAGGGGCGAAGGAGGAAGTCCTGGCTAACACCCAGAAACAGCCTGGCTTTGTTTCGGGAGACCAGGAAACAAGCCGCATCGCCTTTTCACCCGAGTTTTCCTCTGGCCACAATGTGAGAGGCAGCTCTGCCTGGGGTTGCCTCCTGAGCTGGGAGCCTAAGTTCCAGCCTCTTGCCTCGGTATTTAGTGATATTGCAAAACTAAAGGATGAGTTGGAGGTCGCGAGGCAGAAGCCTGGCATTTCAAAAGAGAGGGAGTCTCAGGTTTTTCCGCCGCCTTTGATCACTGCAGTAGCCCAGCCTGGGATTAAAGCAGTTCCACCGAGAATGCCGAGAGTGGCGGCCGAGGCCCCAGCCCCAGCCCCAGCCCCAGCCCCAGCCCCAGCCCCAGCCCCAGCCCCAGGGCAGCTACTTCAGAAGTACCCCCAACCCCCTCTTCTCCACCACGAAGGTTCTCTGGCAGAAGCCCTAACGCCCAGCTTACCCCTAGCCCTCTCCCTGCTGACTCTGCGGGCTCCAGCCAGGGCACCACAGATGCCACACAGAGAACCATTAGGAACTTGCCTAAGTGACTCACACTGTGAAGTGAAAGTGGAAGATGAGGCTGAAATATGAAGTGATTGTGATGCCAGCTACCTTGTCACCAAGTGTCACGAAAGGCTGAACAAAACATCCCCCACCCCAGGTTCATTCTTATTTAAAAGCCAGGGTTTTGCCAACCTCCTGTTTGAGTTTCTCACATTTCTTCCAGCCTTAGTGAGCAGTTATGTCTTGTTTGAACCTTTATGTTTTGCTCTCAGCACTCACATTTGTACATGTCAATCAATGTCTATTCTGTCTGGTTTTCTATATGATTAGGTTTCCGAAGGAGTCCGTGATGCCAAAAGGTTTATGTGAAAGGAATGAAAGGCAAGGGCAACGCACTCTGGCCCCAGTACTGCTGATCACCCCACTGCCTCTAAGTGAACAAACAAAAATGAGGGTCAGATGGGGAAAGCGTTTAGGAGAGAAAGTGAACAACAAGGAAATATGGACAGGTAAATCTTTGTTTTAAGACAAAGTAACAGGCCGGAGGTGGTGGTGCACACCTGTAATCTCAGTTCTTGGGAGGCTGAGGCAAGAGGACTGTCACAAGTTCGAGGCCAGCCTGAGCTACATAGTAAACTGAAGCCCAGCCTAAACTACACAGTGAGACCCTGTCTCAAAAAAAAAAAAAAAAAAA